TGACACAGTAAAAAAGTATTGAACATTTGAAGAAAGTAAGGTGTAGAAAGGCAGTGAAAGACCAGACAGCAGCTGAAATCTCACAGTAGTTTCTCTCTCAACCCTCTGCCCTTCCTCAGTGTAAATTAATATTAGCTGCTTCAGTCCAACATCCACATAAGCAGGATGATGAAGGTGAAACCAGGGTGGACATTTCAGCAAGACAATGATCCAAAATATATTTTCTGAGAAAATGGTGACGTGTTGAATACTTGTTATATACAGTGCATTATTATACAATAATCATTTAGAATTAAATATGTACCGCTGTGCCTTTAAGAGCTCTATGTAAATGAGCAAGATGAACACAGGCTGTGAGTATTTATTTTAACCGCTGCATTCTTTGCACATTCTGCATTGCATTATGTTGGCTTCACAAATTAATTCATATTCATATTATTCACATATGCAGATTGCAAAATCAAGATCAGACATAGATGAGCAGGAATCTGAAAATAATTATCATCCCCATAAGCTACAATAGGAATCTCTCAGAATATACTATTACTGTTTATATACATTCATATGAATAATGATACCACCTGAATGATATTATTCCATAACCCACGCTTTATGAATATCACTGTACATCCATAGACAATTGATAAATATCTTACCTGTGTGATTGCTTAACTCATTATGATGTAAATGAATTTGGTTATATGACAATTTATTTAAATAACTTTTTGATACCTTGGCTTTGAGACGTGGGAGTTATCGACAAACATACTGTAAATCCCTGGTATCATCAGCCTCAATTCCACCCTTATCAAGCAGATTCAGATACTTGCTCAAAAAATGTAAATAATAAATAAAAAATGCTGATACTGGCTGACACAAATATGGTATGATGTACACGTCTAGAGTCAAGAGCAGTTTGTGTCTCGCACTGATAAATGTGTCATGCTGGATAAACATCAGCACAGTCAGTGTCATCATCTTCTTTTATTCAGTTTGGCTGTTTCTGTCAGTTATGCGTCTCTTTAACAGTTCACAGTTTTGATGTGGAAGATTTGTGTTTCCTGCACCTGAGCTGTGTTTATGTGCTTGTGTTTGTGTGTGAGATGGAAGATGGAAGATGATGATACAGTCTCAGGGGTCAGCTGTATATGAGTCGCAGAGGAGAAATTGCACTGGGACATTAGACAAGCCAGATGGAGAATGATGGACAGAGAGAGAGAGAGAGAGAGAGAGAGAGTGCTGAAAACTATGATTGGATTTAACTGCTTTTTCAGCCTAAAAAAAATAAAAATAACTGATAATAATCTATGCTGATCTACTTATTGTATTTTGTCAATTAAGAGCAAATTAACACAATTAACACAAAAGAATTAAATAAAATTAGATTATGATTTTAATTTTATTGCTAAACATGAAATATTGGCCAGTAATTGCTTATTTTTCACAGCTCATTTTAAAATATCTATTTAAGAAATTTTCTATTTTATAAACTGCGTCCCAAATAGCACACTATACACTATCCACTTACACACTCAACAGCAAATGAATGTAGTGTCATCCCAAATGGAACACTACTCTTTTTTTTTTTAAGCGGAAACTCAAACCGTTTTCCTGATGACGGTTAACGGTTGCCAATTAGTGAAGTAAATGACCAAACTACCAAATAATAACTGCTATGAGTATAACCGCATTTTCTTGTAGGAGAAGTTTGTTTTCACAATCTAAAATAATTAAGAAATCCAACATGTGCACTCGATAGCTTCGCCCCTTCAGCTACACGAGTAAAGCTGTGGTTGTTGAGTGCGTTAAGTGTCCATCATTACATATTTGATTTTACCAGTTGAATAAGTGCATTATTCGCATATTTACAGTGCACTTATTCTTACTTATTCACTACTTACACTATTTATACTACAAAATGGTGTAGAATAGTGCATAAGTATGCGATTTGAGTAGCATCAATTAAAGGATTCGGATTTCTACCTTCCAATATTTCTGCCTTAAAATCCATCTCAGCGTGGATCAACGATCCTTTTCTCATCATCCTGTTTCAATTTTTTTTTTTAGTCATGGTATAATTTACTTCCAACTTTCACTTCCCATTTATCAAAATACATTTTTGATAAAATTTTTATTATGCTGTGTCACTTGTTTTGCCTGTGTTTATTGTTAGGCTATTTATGACTGGCATTTAATTCTTTTCCCACTATGCAAAACACTGTTTGTGGCAGTTTTTTTTTTTTTTATCTATTACTAATTTCATGGTGATTTTCCTTTTCTCATGGAGATTTGCTGGACAGTTTTGGTTGTTTCTTAGGGTGTACTCACACTAGGCTATCCCAACAATTTCCCAGTTTGCTTGACAATTGTGAGTGCTCTGAATCTGGCCCACCTTCAGCATACTGTACCTCCTAATCCCTGCAGCATGATGAATTTTAAGATAATTTATGAGCGTCAAAAGTTGTGGATCTGTTCGGCAAAATATTTTACTGTGTGTCACTGTATCCCAAACAACTACAAATAATACAAAACAATATAACTAAAGCTATCTACACTGTGCTGAGCGAGAGCACTTCTCTTCAAAATTGAACAGTCATCGATGATGTAAGCGTGCTCAGAAGGCAAAAGGTAGTGTGAATGCAGGTCATCAGTGTAGAGGGGAGGGAGACAAGCACAATTCGGCACGGTTTAAGGCAACTGTTTCTAGTGTGAGTACACCCTTATGCTGCTGTGAAAATATAAATAAATGTACACATCTTCATAATTTTTTTTTGACCTCAAGAACCATTGATCTCTGTTGACAACTAGAGGTATGGCTCTTCAAGTAAGCACTTTCTATATGTGAATATAATTTTACCTAAAATAAAACATTGCAGATGGCACATAATTTACTTTGAAAAGAGTCCTGATCTGTGGAAATCTGTAGAAAATAAATACATTTACAAGCTTATTTAAATTTTGCCCCATTTGCTTGATTTTCCATTACAGTTAGTATTCGCAGAATTCACAAACTTCTGGAGGGTTTGCACAACAGCTGCCTGTCTTTCTATTTATTATAGGTCAGGGTAGTTCAAGGAAATTTGAGTTGTCTTAGTGTGAAAACCCTGTTAATCATTATACAATCATAACAAAATTGTTGATATATTAAAACTGAGAAAGTTATGGGTTATTTCCAGAAGCTGAATCAATTCAGCTCTGTGATGTGCAGGTTTTGATGGGAGTTTTTTTTACTGTAAAACAGACAAACAAAATAAAAAAAATTTAAAAAACAGGACATCAAAACTCTATTTTTTTAATAATTTGAAGGAAATAAAGAGGTTTCTTTTAAATTTTATTTACTGCAGTTAAAAAATCTTTATTTGCAGTCAAATTCTGCAAATAAAATCAGTTGTCCATTGTATTTCTTTTGTTTTTGTTATAAGGCTCACAAAATTTATTTGCAATAAATCTTTTATCAGCTTTCAAATAAAAAGGTTAAAATATCAGCCCAAATATACAAAATAGAGGCATTTGAATATAATTATTAGTAAATAGTAATTAATAGTATTAGGGATGTCCTGATCAGGTTTTTTTTTTGCCCTTAAGTCGGTGTAATTTTAAATATATCTACCGATTGTGAAACCCGATCCGATATTTCTATAATACATTAAAAAATAAGAAGAGTAAGGAAACAGATCCAAGATGTTCCTTATTTTTTATTTAATTCACCTTATTTTAACATTTAACAACAAACAGAGCACTTCTGTGAGGTAGATGGAACAATCAAGTAACAAATAACACCAATGCTTCACTTTTGGACTTTAGTGTAACAGTAAATGTAAAAATATATACATATATATAAACACAAATAGCACCTCAACTTAAACTACCCGGCAGGCAATCCCAAGTTTACATTTCTCACAGTTTGCTATGGCAATGTTGTCATCATTAACTCCATAATACCTCCAGACCGCAGACATACTCGCACTTTTCTCTTCAAGCTGCTTCTTTGTATTACTTCATTTAACCTATAGCGTCTATGAAACAAAGTGATGTCATGCCGCACGCGTTGCTGTTTCAGTGTGAAGTTAAGAAAGAAGCCCAACTCTGTGCCACTGCATAACTATAGATGTGTTAAAACATAATGAGAATATATATTCGAGTCCTGATTGGGAGGTAATGTCCGATTCCAATCGAGTCTGAAACTACGTGATTGGGCCTGATTTCTGATCACGTGGACGGATCTGGCAACTTTGTTGCAGAAAAGGTTTTTATTCTAGTGTTTAAACATTCAAAAAATATACACTAAACAACATCTAATCTCTTTAAGGTTATTTGAGGAATCCAAAAATGTTTCTTTAATGGCATCCATGCAAAAACCCTAATCAATCGCCAGTTTGCAACATTTATTTGCAGGATCTAATGTGAACCCACGCATTCAGCAGATATCAGTGTTTAAAAAAAATACATGAATAAACTGTAAATAACAGGTGCATGGAGAGTTATTTGAGTGTGTGTTTACTGTCAGACATGCTGGACTTTTAATACATTACGTGTGAAATGTAAGTGACAGAAAAGGGAAAAAAGAGAGACGTGTGATGTAATCTTTTTTTAGGAATGATAGTGTGTTTATGAGCTGTGTGTGTGACAGGCAGAGGTTGTGGGAGTTCAGCTGCAGTTCGGCTTAAATATCCCTCGCACACTACCGTTACGTAATTTCTAGTCTCATGTGTGTGTGTGTTTGTACAGTGAGGAGGTGTGTCTATTGTGTACATGGATGAGTAATGCCATGTGTAATGCTGTGTGTGTGTGTGTTCTTTCTCTGTCATCCCTCCCCCAGCTGTCTGGCTCACAACTGTTGCTTTCCTTCATCTTCATCCTCTCTTCTGGAGCTTTCAGTGTGATCATACTAGATACAATCTTCAGCACTACTCAGAGAGAGAGAGAGAGAGAGAGAGAGAGAGAGAGAAGAAAAAATCTCTGAATCTCAGATCTCAAGCTGTGTCTTTTTGCTGTTTAAGGATGAAGTAGACGGTGGAAATCCAGCTGTGAAAGATGATCCGCCTCTGCAGGAACAGGTCCAGGCCTGGCTCAAACAGAACCAATTCCAGAAAACTCTTCAGCAAGGTATTCAAGCCTGTTTTATACTGCAGATCCATGGGACAGTTCTGTGTTGTGGTTTTTGTGTGGTATTTGTTCTGCTTTTTAAATGCTCGATGAGGATGTTTAAGTAGATCTGATACCAATCTGAAAGGCATACCAAATATCGTTGCTCTCTGCTTATATAAACAGAGCATTTTAGATATAATGAAAATCTCTGTCCGCATTCACAGGCTTTGACTGGATTTAAATAAAGCTATTACTATGATTTCTCAGGCAAAAGAAAAAACTACAACTGCTGTTTACTGGAAATAATAATATGCAAAACAAACAATTATTCTGGCAAACATGTTCATTAGCCTAGTACTTGGGTCAGCGATACACAATAAAAATGACCTGCTTCATGCTAAGCAGCGTTTCTGTCATAACGAGCCAAAACAGCAGCGTGTGCGGTGAATGAATGTTTCTGCATTATTGCAGCTAAGAATAACAAAGTACAAACTGTTTGCAATGATGGTGATAATCTCTGCTACTGATTACGTGCTATGTATCATCATTAGCTATGTTTCTATTCACCTACTTTTATGTGCATTTTGGATAAAAAAAAAACTGTTGATGGGAACACCAAAATGCACATACATTTTTAAAATGTCCATAAATAACATATGTGTATAACTGAGTAGCAGTTAAACTTTTTATTTGATAAGATGTGCATAAACTACGTTGGAAACACTTTTACCGAACAAATTCCAGTATGCGCATTAAGTCATGTGATTTTGTTATGAGAGATCATGTGATGATAAAAATGTGTGAATGGACAAACCAGCAGACTGAGCAGATTTTAACACATCTGAAATGTTGTTTTGGTCCTTTTTAAAAAGCCTTAACCGTTTCGGTATTAGTGTTATTATATTATTAATTACCTCCAGAATAGTCAAGTGCATCTGTTCTCCATGTCTCATGTCGGCATTTGTCCTCAGAGGTGCAAGTCCTGTATTAATTAAGGAAAACATTCAAGCTGTTTCTCGTACCACAGTAAATTCCGATTTTCATTTTATATTTGGTGCTAATTTATCAGGAAGTGACGATTTCGTTCTCTTTGACTTTGATTTAATTCAAAGTTTTGGATAGAAACATAGCTATTAAAAAAGATTCATTGCAGTTTGAATATTGAGTAATGTGCATGACTGTAATAACAATGGATAATTTACCCTCAAACTAAAATAGTTGTTTAATTACAGTCACGCTGATCATCTGTCTATGTAAAAATAGATTTTACTTTGTAATAATATGAAATTGTGCAAATTAGTCATCATTGTGAGATTGTGGGACAGCTCATTCACACACTCTTTTGTAGGCCCAAGTATACTTTGAGAAATAGAACTGATGTTAACTAAATCAGACCAAGACATCAGTTTGTTCATCTAGGCAGGACCAAACTATTTTTATAAGATGGTAAACACACACACAATTGCATGCATCACAGTGCTTTTATCACATCTGAGTGTGTGTAGTAATAAAAAATCATGTTAATAGCAATAAAAGAGTTACAACAGAAATATAAGAGGCAACCATGTTAGACAAACATTTAATTGTATTAATAATAATACTTATAACTAAGTGCATTAATATAAATACTGAGTATTTATTTTATGGCTAATCCAATCAGATTTTATAAATAACCATTATATAAATAAAGATTCAAGTGTTTTAAGATCTTGAAGTTGGTTTGAGGATTGTGTTTTGTTAGGTCTATGGTTGGGGTTTGCCGTTTGTGAGGTTTGCTTTTGTGCAACAGGTGGCTGTTCAGTAAAAGGCCGGAGAGTGAAAGTTTTCAGACAGGAGTCCAAAACCCAGTGGCTGTCAGGAGTCATCACACACTATGAGCAGAATAACAGAACCGTAGCTGTCATGACTGACCAGGTGAGACCACATCAACATACATGTATACCATTCTGTGTATCAGTGGTGTGCACAAGGGGGCCAGGAGGGGGGGGGGGGTGTAATTGTAAAAAACCTTTTTTTCTGCCATTGCTGTGTTATTAATTTAATGTAAAAAACATGTTTTGTATAATGTTTTTTTTCCCAAAAGGGTCAAGAGATTGTGAGTATAGATCCATCACTGGTTCAGATGTTGTTACTAGATGAGATCACCCAATCCTCGATGACAGGAGACAACTCAAAACGCAAATCACATATCACCAAGATCAATAGGGTTTGTCTTGTAAGTAAAGACAATGGGATTTTTGTTTTGTATGTGTGCACATACTAGTTTTGAGACAAGATATTTCCCTAAAGTATGGCAAAGCATTTGCTGAAAAAGAAATTGGATATAAAAAATATTTATCAATGTTTAATAATATATATTTTCTTAACAAATCAGCATTAGTATACATCATGGTAGAAGTATATTTGGATATATAGGATATATCCACATTTGGGTTTTAGCCAAATAAAATGTATGCTATTTGTGTCTTACTTGCATCTTTACCGTCTGCTTCCAGGGTACAGGAAGTAAAACAAACACTACAACAAATGACCAGGTACAGACTTTAACATGCTTTCAAATACATGGCACCAGTCTCATTCATTCTCTAGTTTAAAAACACACTCCGTTTCTCTGCTGAAGGTATGCAAGCCAGTGCAACACCAGTCTGAAATAAGCACACACAACTGCAGCATGGAAAAAGATGAAAAAGAAGGAATGAGGGAGGAAAAGAGGAGTGATGAGGGAAAAGGTGAGTTGGAGCTGTAGATAATGATTATGAGGATGTTAAAAGCACTATCTGTAAAAATTACTAATAGTGTGACTGAGATTTATGTCATAAGACTGATAAAGAATACAGATTTTCTCAAGTTTTTACAGAGAATCTTAGATTGTGCTGTGCAAACTTTTACCTCAGTATTGTTGATCTTTTTTTGTATACCTAGATTCTTCCAAATCTAAAAACAGTCATTGTGAGAGAAAAAGAAAGAAGGAAGATGAGGAGAAAGATGACCAGCAGAGAAATAGATGTGGGCTGAAGAGGCTGAAAGGGGGCAGTGTGTCTGACCTGTCTGAGAACAGTGATTCTGAAAATTCCAGCTGCAGAGTGCCAGATTCATCCTCAGATTTAGGATCAAAGAGACAGCTGAAACAGCGTTACACTTCAAAGAGACCATTGGATTGTGAGGTTCACCCCTCCCACAGAGGTGGAAAACTTTCCTCCAGCCAATTAGGAGAGACTGAGATATTGGGCAAAACTCCTCCATCTGATTCATGTAGTTCATCCTGCAATGGAGCATTTAGGAACACAGAGGCATTTGAGTGTGCTGCTGCTGTTTGTGTTGGGAAATCAGATGAGAAAGGCAATGGAGGGATGACAGAAATAGAGGACAGGAGTGAGGGGACATCTCGGGAGGACTCTGAGGCAGTCTCTGCACTACTGGCGTCCCAAGAGAGTGAGCAGCTGGTCTCTATGGAAACCACGTGCGTGCTGCTGCATGCATCACCTCTGGAGTGTGAGAGAGCGGAGGGTGAGATGTCAACGAACGATTCACAGGTCAAAGGTTCAGAGTTCACTCATGCAGAGGCTAGGGGGACAGAGTTTAACCAATCAGAGGTCAGGAGGTCAGACTTTCCCCATTCTGAGGCCATTACCACCAGTAATGACACTCCAGTCGCTTTAGAAGAGGAGCCAAGAGGAGAACCGCCTTGCTGTCCTGTCAAACCTTGCAACAAAAAGGAGGATGGGGATTATAAACGGAGCCAATCTCCAGCAACTGTAAACACAGAATATGGATCTGAAAGTCCTTGCTGTTCTCCTGAGACCATAACTAAACCACAGATCATTCGGGAGGTGTCCAGGCAGAAGCTGAAAGAGGGTATGGCTGAGATGGGCATGCTGAAAGAGGGTACTCCTCTGCCTAAATCTATGGACAGAATTCTTAGTGGCCTTAAAATGGCACCCAAAACCAAAGAGACCTGCTCCACAACTCCAGTCGTGATTAAGACCCCTTCTCCAAACCCAAACCGATCCAGAACGCCAACACATTCTCCTTCCCGTACACCAAATCGCACTCCCACTCCAGACAAGTCAACTAAAAGCCCTCTCATTGTGGGCAGGAAGGAACCGTTCAAAATCTACCGAGACCCTGCACTAGTCAAAGCAGAGCTTGAGGCCAACCCCACCTATATCCAGCCTCCTCACACGCCCCCAAATCCAAAACAGCACCATAAGATACCTTCTCCCTCCTCCAGCTCTCCTAGCCTCACCACTGCTTCCTCCCACAGCAAGCTACTGAGTCCCTCACCTCATTCTGCACACCTTTCACCCATTGCACTTCACTCCCAGCCTCCCCTTTGCTCTCTGAGCACAACCCCACACTCAGCCATCCCTCACCCCCACCTCCTGCCATCCCTCCTGCCTGCACTGTCCCCATCTACCACACTCTTGGCAGGACATCCTCGTATTGGAACTCTAGGACTCCCTCATCATCCAATAGCCCTCCCGGGTAACTCATCTCTCCTTGGCCAGACCACTGGTGGAGCTCCTATGGCTTCCCTTGGCCTCTATCCCCTCCTGTGGCCTCCTTTCCCCAATGGAGGCCACAGCTATCCTGGACTGGGACTGCAACCATCCAAATGGACACACCAAGATCATGCTACCATCTCTGACAGTAGTGTGAGGAGGGTAAGTATCCTTACAGATTATTAACATGCACATCCTAGATCCTGGAGCCAGTCAAGAAAGATGTTAATCCTGGTTAAAGCTGTGTGGGGTCCTAGGTTTAGTGTGTTCACTTATAAGCACTTTAGCCTCTTGAGAAGGTCCCTGTTCCTAAATCCTAGTTTAGCCGGAGGCAATTGCCAGCTGACATATTTGCTGTATTATTCCATGTACTCTCGTTTTCTCCAAATACAAATACATGCAGAAGAACTGAATTTAACACTGTTGTTTTAGATGGGTCTCTGTATGCAGGCTCTGAGTATACTTATCTACCCATGGTGTTTCTCAGAACACAGTCTCAGTTTATATAATGGTTTGGGGTTCAGTCTTTTTATCTCAGAACTAGCGGGAATTAAAGATACTTCAATAAACCATCTTTAACACCAACAACTTAGATGCCCTTGAGCAAGACACTGATCCCATTTTGCTGGAAGCTGTGTGTGTGTGTGTGTGTGTGTGTGTGTGTGTGTGTGTGTGTGTGTGTGTGTGTGTGTGTGTGTGTGTTTTAACTTCTCACTCTTATTGTGTGTGTGCACTTGGATGGGTCAAATGAAGAGGACCAATTTCAAGTATTGTTAACCATTCTTTACAATACTCACTTCACTTAGTAACCCTACATATGACAAGGGGTTTGGCGAATGAGTAGAATACAGACAGTCACATAAATGTAATCAAGATTATTTTGGATGTTTAAGTACATTTTAGATGGTTTGCAGACACTGAAACGTAGTTAAGTTTTGCCTTTAGCACATGCTTTGTGTTATTCCTTGTGGTGTCTTTACAGATGATAATATTTGTGTAGTTATTTTGGTATTTAAGAAATTATAGCAAAACCTCAGATTGTCATGGGGAAGACAAAGCTGAGCATGTCCACTGTGGTGTGCACAATGTAACTGAGCTCCACTTCTGCTAATTCTGCTATAGATATAGTGGGTATTATCCTGAATATCAAGCTTCACATTAGTTCTGGCAGGATATATCAGTCAAGCTTCCATAAGCTGATGGTCAGCTGTTCATGATGTGTACAAATCCAGTCAAATCACATTATCACAGCTGTCTTTTAAAATACATACATCCAGTCCTTCTTCAATGCTTGGCTGCACACCAATTCTAATTTTCCTCCTCCTTCCTCAAGTCCTTCTAGCTCCTGACTTCTAACTTGGGTATTTAGCCAAAGTACATGGTAATCCGCCTCATATTTTTGCATTTACATTAACGCATATTGTAATTGTTTATGCATTATTTTTGAACCTGTTCTGTTACCCCTTTGGGGGTTTGACTTGCTGATGCTCCCCCCGCTCTATCCATGCATGGCTGCACAGACAGGCATGTGGAGTCTTTTCCAGAACAGTGCCAAATCGCCAACACTAACTGCATCTCTAATTTATCAATATATAAGCTGAGATAAAGAACCAAGAAGCAAGTTATGGTATTAGGAAAGTATACTGAATTTGAATTGTGACACCCTGAATTGAGAAGGAGAGGATAATAGGGAATAGGAAAATGAAAAAGGAAGCTACAGCGAGTGCTGAAAAAAGTTCAGTTGTATGTAAACCAATATTTATCTTTACATGTATTATAGATATATAAACAAGGTTGTGTTTCACAATTTGTGTATGTTCGAAGAGTTCTCCAGTGTAGAAGGGGATTGACTTATGTCCTTGCAGATTGTGTTTAATTTTATTTATCCTCCCTAAGCTTTGATATCTTTTTGGTAAATGTAAATTGTTCTCTAAATCAAATAAAACTGGTCCTATAAATCTACGTCAAACTCAGTATGTTTTTTTTTCTGTGGTAACAGAACACTCCAAGCCACTGGCTTTCTCAGCCCACCCCTGTTAATAATGCAGATGGTCAAGGTTTACAACCCCCACTGCCCATCCGTCCCTCCAGTGCAGACCCTCAAAGGGCATCTAGAAGCAGTCAACATTGCACACCATCCTCCAAAACCACAGAGTAAGTTTCAAGTTCAACTATTGGGTCAGGCTAACTTGACCATTGAATTAATAAAATTGACACTACCAAACTGGCGTGTGCATTAATTGTGTTAATAAATTTTCAATTAAATTGGTCTGTCATCAGTTATATCTTTTACTTGCAATAAACTCTTCTGCATTCATTTTTGATGTTCTTGTTACCAGAGAGCTGGACAGAAGAGGCATAGCTGAGAGCACATTCATCCACTCTCACCTCAAGTCTGACCTGGAGCGCATTCGCACATCAATGGGCAAAAATGGGCAGACTTACAGCCCAGTTGCCCTTGAGTCCCCCCCAAGTCAAACCAAACAGCCACTTGTTGTTTATGATCTCACAGGTGACAGACCCAACAGCTACCAGGAAGAGAACCGGCGCATTCTTCTAGAAAGCAGTGAGGTGGCACCATTTACTGCTAAACTGGGATCAGATAGGGAACCCCGATACCCTAGAAGCCCAACACCTGCTCTTCCTTCTAAGGAGAGGGAGATAGAATTGGACAGAGAAAAAGACAGGGACAGAGAGAGAGATGTGCATGCATTTAGACATGCTCTACCTCCCCGGCCACAATCGGCCCATCCATCCCCAACCCTCACTCCAAGCAGCTACTATGCATCTCTGTCTAACAGTGTGGAGAACAGGCCTCCACAGCGCAAAGTGCCAGCCAGCAAAGAGCTCTATGAGAGGCTGAGTGCCAGCAACTCTGTTGCCCCTGTGTTAACCTCTAGTTCACAGGTCTCTATGAGAGCCCAACCTCCTCCTCTTGTCAAACGTCAACACGAGAAAGAAGAAGGTCTGCTAGGAAAGATCACAGAGAAACTTGTTCATAAAGCATCTTCCATGTATGCAGTAGAGATGGCAAGTGTGGAGAGAAGAGGGCCAGGCTCTTCTATCATTTCTGTCTCCTCTTCTTCCCGCAGTGTGCCTTTACTCCACCGCGCCCCTATATTCCACCCTCCAGCACCAACCACTGTGGTTTCTAAAGACTCTGGAAATGGCAGGTTGTCACCACCAACCCTCACACCCATTCAACCAATGAGCTTGTCTGAAAAAGGACAGAAACAACAGAGGCCACCTACCCTGTTGCCTGAATTCAAACATGTTGCCTTAGACGGGAAAAGACATATGCCGGAAAAAGCAGCAATGTCATCACAGGCCTTCAATACTCAGTGGGGAGGAGTCATATATGGCAGAGAGAATGTTGGTGGGCACACAAAAAATGGCGGCGTTGTCAAACCACAGGTGGCTACTGCATCAGTTATTGTGCGTCCAACAAGCCACACCCATACAATAATAAATTACACAGTGTCTGACAGCTCAGTTTCACAGATGCATTGCAGCCCCATAAGGCCATTGGAAAGCATGTCCAACTTAAAGTCTAAGGAGGGCAATGTTCAGCATAAGAGAGGTGTCCTGTGGACCCCTCTGGATACTGTCCATCCAATCAACATGACAACTCAAAAGGAAGATCTCAGTACTCCCATAAACATGACAATGAAGCTAATTAACACAGCTCATCCGAGTCATGGAGTGACACACCCCTTAACCAACATGAATGCCTCACATTCTAAAATAGACCTAATTGCAGAGCAATGCAAGAAGAGAGACAGTGGAGCCATTCAACCAAAGACGGAGCCCTCTTCATCTTCTTACTGCACTACAAGAGACTTCCCTCATTTGAAAAAACACAGAGCTGGACTAACTGCTGCTATCTCTAGAGCTAACACACATACAATTCAGCCTCAACACACTACATATCCTTTGAATGCTATGACCAATAACTCTCACCTCTCAGAAAGTCATTTTGAGTCTCTTACTGCACTCACTACCCACACCGTGTGTTCTGCACATGTTTTAGAAAGAGAAAAAGAGCCTGTATTCAACACTAGCACTTCTGAATCTCTGGCATCAGGGACTTCCTGCCCTGCACCAACAGACAAACAAGGTTCGCCAACCAATGGGTATACAGCTGGATCAACAATAATCAACCAATCAGCTCAATCCGGTCAGAACAATTACCATAAACTTAAAAAAGCCTGGCTGACCCGCCATTCTGAGCAAGATAGAGGCAGTACGGACTCCCAAACACTAGATGGTACTAAGTCTGCTGTAATTCTGACGAACACAAGCACCTATATACCAGCCAAGCAGGAAGTGAATGGACTGATGGACAATTTGGAGGACAAAAACTCACTTGACAGCAAAAAGCCCAAAATATTGAAGAAGAAGCCTACACAAGAGACAAGGAAATCTAATAGTATTGCTACTACGATCTGTTCAGAAGACAAAAAATCTGTAAAAGCCGATGAGAAACCAGTGACAACAGGCAAAAAGTCTTTCCTGCTGGATAATGTTAAACCTGTCTTAGACAAAAACTGCAAGCTGGAAGCTAAGGAATCCATTGTGGAGGATAAGAAATCCACTGAAAAACATTCTAACCTGGGACATATGAAGACAGAGAGGGAGAAGCGAGCCGAGAAACGGCCATTAGAGTCCAACAGTGACAGCGAGACTGGAGGAGACTCAGGAAATGAGAGCGAAAATGGTGAATCAAGACGAAGGTTCAAACGGCAGCCTAAGACCTCGTTTAAAATAAAACAGAATAACAGCCAGAAGAAGAAAGTAGAGGAGGAGGAAGAAGAGGAAGAGGCCAAAGCCAATGGAACTTTGCAGAGTGCAAAGGATAAGCCACAGAGGATTGCTAACAGCAGTGAGTTTTTCCACCTGATTAAGATAAAACTCTTACTAATATTCACATTAGGGAACAACACCATATAACAGCATGAATAGCTTTCAGCCTTTCCCTTTTCTTGCTTAAAATAAAATGTAATGTTGTGAGTGAACCAGTAGGTCTTTATTGAAGATTTTTCATGAATGCCTCTGGAAAAAGTGAATAGGAACATAATATACATTTGGAGTATTCAGGGTTGTGCTCTTTAGCAGCTCTTTTTTAAGCAAGCTGTTTAAGATTGACTGGCAGAACAATTACACATGCTGTGTGTCATTGGCAAAATGTAATCGAGTCTCAGTTTCACAGTATTATTCAGGAGAGGGAATCAAGGCTGTGCAATCCAAAATCATGCATATTCAAACTGTTGCCGAGAATACAAATGCGTATTGAGCTCAGCTATGCTATTTTGCTCCTAGATGGCATTCCTCGCTCTGTGCTGAAAGACTGGAGGAAGGTGAGAAAGCTCAAGCAAACTGGAGAAGCTTTCTTACAGGACGACTCCTGTGCAGAGATTGGGGCAAATGTGCAGAAGTGCCGAGAGTGTCGTCTGGATCGCTCGCGTAAGGCACAGGAGCCTACCCTCTCACCTGTGTTTTGCAGATTCTACTATTTCCGACGGTTAGTTCTTAGTTGATGTTTTGCTCTACATTTGAACTCTCGCTTTGGTCAACCAGTGGTTTATTCAATTCTAATAAAGTAAAGCGAAGTTCAACTTGATTTGTTAATATCCAATAAAAGCAAGTAGATCTGTTTTCATGACAGATGTCAGAAGGAACTCCACTGTTCTTAGACAATCTTCCTACTGTCTCTTCAGCCTGTCATACAGTAAGAATGGCGTTATCCGCGTGGATGGGTTTTCGGTGTCTGAGCACACGGATGAGGAGGCGGTTACGGTGTGGACGGGCAGCACAGAGGACGAGGAAGACAAGAAGAGGAGAGAGATGGACCTTGAGATGTCAAAATCCATCCTCACGTTCATCGGAGACCAGTTCTGCAGGCTCGTAAAGACAGAGGACACTGCATACTCATGGGTCAAGAAAGACAGTACGTTTGTGTGGAATGACAGACACAGTTTCTTATTGCTTGTCATTTTGTCTTCTTCACCTTGTCTTGCCGTCTTGTCTTTCTCCAGCTCAGATCATGTGGAAGCGGGCAGTGAGAGGTGTGAGGGAGATGTGTGATGCGTGTGAAGCGACTCTCTTCAACATGCACTGGGCGTGTCACAAATGTGGCTTCGTGGTTTGCATGGACTGCTATAAAGCCAGAGAGAAGAGGAAAGCCAAAGGTTATTTGCAAATACATCACATTTCCCTATGGGTTTTAAATTGTACCTATTGACCACCTCTATGGAATTTCTTAGAACTTTGAACAATATGACCTTAAATACTGGTCCAAACTGGTTTATGTTGGTTTCTTACAGAAAGATTTGAAGGTTTAATTTTTCGGTTCTATTATACCAGGTTCTTTCATATTGATAAATAGAAATAGAGCAGCTTTTCCATTCACCACTTTCAAAAGAGAGTGTTGCTAAGCAGAATTAGCCAATGGAGGAAATGTTTTTCTATGGTAACAATACTCCCGCGTTTATGGTAGCCAAAGTGGTATTGTTTGTTTAGACTAATTTCCAGGTTCTGATTTCTCAATATTCGGCACTGTTGATTTAATTAGTCTTGGCAGCATAGATCTACTACTCTACTGCTGCGGCTTTTATTATTGGTGCAGAGCAAGTAATGAAACTTGCTACTGCCAGCATGATTACAGACATGCAGTGTGAGAATATAACACACCACTGCTGCAAAAAAAAAAAAAAAAAACAAGCATGCAAAAATCCCTCAAGAAAGCGATAGAAACATCAAAACTTGATTTAGCGTAAACAGTTGCATAACATGACACAAAGACCCCAAAATAAGCAGATCTATGGCCTAGACATATGCTTTTTTTCACCATTGAGCCATGGGATCACATGTTTTGCTATTTATGTATGCCTGGGTTAACTTGCCAAATGGCTTTGCATTAATACCACACACTGGGTGTCCTTGTTACAAAAATATCATGTTGCAGGCTGATATAATAAAATAAACTCAGCATAAATGAGAACTTTAATAATTCATTCCTTCGGATTTTCCTTCGGCTTAGTCCCTTTATTCATCAGGGGTCACACACAGTGAATGAACTGCCAACTTATCCAGCATATGTTTTACACAATGGATACCCTTCTAGCTGCAACCCAATACTGGGAAACATCCATACACTCTAATTAACATCCATACATTATGGCCAATTAATTTTATCCAATTCACCTATAGCACATGTCTTTGGACTGTGGGGGAAACCAGAGCACCTGGAGAAAACCCAAGCCAACGTGGGAAGAACATGCAAACTCCACACAAAAATGCTAACTGACTCAGCTGAGGCTAGAACCAGTAACCTTTTTGCTGTGAGGCAACAGTGCTAACAACTAAGCTGCTGTGTTACCAACCTTGATAATGTGATTTCTATTTTCATGTAGACAATCCAAAACAAAGTGTTAATGTGAATGCTCATTGGTGTCTGCAATGTGAAAGACCAAATAATAAATAAGAGCTTGGTTTGAAACGTATGAATGTTCACTTTAAAAAAAAGGCAGAGCAATAGCACATAAATAAAAAGCTAAAAAAAAAAGTCACTTATTTAGATGTTGTTAACTTTGTATTAATACAATCATTCAGAAAACTACATTGATACAAGGGATGAGATTTGCTTTCATAAACCATTGTAGACCATTAGGTCAACTGAGGGATAGTTCATCTGAAAAATTAACATTTCCTTAATTTACTTACCTTTGACAGTTTGGCCAAGTTTCTTACCTCCGTTACACACAAGACAGTTGGTCTTGAAGGCAGAAGAATGTTGGATGCTGGTAGCCAATGACTTAGTCTAATGACTTAGACATAGTATTTTTACTCCTGCTATAAATGTCAATCGCTACCAGTTTCCACCATGCCTAAAAATGCCGTATTACTACTTTAACTACTATGACTGTGTTTGGACTGACTTAAGGGTTAGTAAAATGTGAGTAAATCTTATTTTTTTGGGTGATTTTTTAATCTCTTATGGTTAAATGCAGCCGGCAGCTAGCTCTTTGCAACTTTCATATGGTCGCCCTCTGAAGCTAAGCAGGGCTGCACCTGGTCAGCACCTGAATAGGAGACCACAAAACAAAACTAAGTCACTGCCGGAAGTGGTGTTTGTGGGACCAGCAGGGAGGGCTCAACCTGCGGTCTGTGTGGGTCCTAAAACCCCAGTATAGTGAAGGGGACTCTATACTGCTCAGTGAGCGCTGTTATCCAGATGAGACGTTAAACCAAGGTCCTTATTCTCTGTGGTCATTAAGAATCCCAGGATGTCCTTCAAAAAAGGGTAAGGGTTTAACCCCAGCATCCTGGACAAATTTGCCCACTGGGACATCCCAATTGGCTTCATCACTCTGTCTCCTCTCCACCAATCAGCTGGTGTGTGGTGTGTGGTGTGTGGTCAGGCGCAAACATGCCGCACACTAGTGGTGGATGAGGAGATCTCCCCGTCAAAATGTATGAAGTGCTTTGAGTGTCCAGAAAAGCGCTCTATAAATGTAAGGAATTATTGTTGGGACAGAAATACCACATTACAATATATTTCTTACTCTATCCATCAGATTTTATTGGTTTGTCTCAAATCCACACAATTTGTCATTTTTTCTTATTTTATCATTCAGATAAGGAGCTGTATGTTTGGGTCAGATGTGTGAAGAATCAGCCCCATGACCTGAAGAACCTCATGCCTACTCAGATTGTCCCTGACTCAGGTAGGCATTGATTCATCTACTTAACGTAAATAAAAGTCACATCCTGTTCTTCTCTGACTGGGAACCTTGTAGTAATAAGCAATGCATTGTCATTTGTCCACAAGTGTTGGCGGACATGCAGAACTCTTTGCACTCTTTGAAAGAAAAGTTTGCAATCTCTTCCCAACGTCCTGGCACTGAAACCAAATCCATGGCCACTACCAACGGACTCTCACCGGTAAGACTCTTAGTTTTTTTTATTTCATGTCAAGTCACATTTACATTTATGCACTGGCAGATGCTCCTATACATTGCTTTCAAGGGATTCAGTTTATTAGTTTATTCATTTCCTGGGAGTCTACTGGAATTATTAGATGCATTTCAAGCTCCACATGAATGACATTTAATGAACATGTTTGGTGTGACATCAGCTTTCAGACACAGATCAAAGTGACCTGAATAGTCGGCAGATCTCAGATCAGCAGAAGAACTCACAGCACGTCACACTGAGAGCGCACACTGAGAGAAGAGGTAATGACAGAAGTAATGCGCAATAATACGCTAAGATATTTTTCACAACATGCAGCCAGCCCTGTCCACCGTGAAATCTCAATTATATCCTCCACATAGTGTATTCTAAAGTGCTTTAATATGCTGTTTTCTCGCATTATCCAGAAAAGGCAGAATGTGATGGTGTGGAAGCCCAGAGTAAGAAGTCCACAAGCCCTGAACAGGGATCAACATTGCGTGACCTTTTGACGTCCACTGCTGGGAAGTTACGCCTTGGATCTGCAGGAGGTGCCTTTGCACCAGTCTACAACTTTTCTGAACAGGTTTGATATATACATTCTTGTTCATATAAAAATGTGAAGTGGAGATCAAATTTCTGGCTAATGAATTCAGAGAAGGAAACCCTGGTGTTGATGAAGGAGCTTCTGATAAACATTTGCATTCACTCTGCCATGTAGCTGTGTTTGCACCAGGTATTGAGATTTGAGATTGTATTTTTCAGTCAAATCACTAGTGGACAAAGGAGATGCATTACTACATAAATGTGTCTCTTTTGTCCACTTTCAACTTTCAACCACTTCTCTTGTGAGTGACGGTCTGTGGGCAGGTTTTGTCTTTGTCTGATCTTTTAACGTAATACTGCAAAAAGGGCACAATTTTCATAATAATCAAGTAATAATAATAAAAAATTGTATTAAATGATACCAGATCAATTAAACACGCTTTATGTATTGTCTACTTCATGCATTGAACTGTATTTCAGTGCTGAACTGTTGAACAATTCTGTTGCTGCAATGTTGAACCCATTGAGATTCTCCACATTATACTGACCACTCAAGTATTTGTCTTTCATGGATGACAAGACATTTTGAGGGACTTGAATGAGATTGTGACATTGTAAAACTGCAACATTCCATAAATCACAAATTCGGAAAGACAAATTTCTCTTGCTTTGACTGAGCCGTGTCATCCCTTTAACCTTCATATGGACAAACTGCTGAGGTTTACAGTCACTTTAGACTGGATCACTATCCTGCAAAGTCAGTGAAAACTGTGAAGTTAAGTCGGCTGTTAAAAAAAGGTGCCAGATTGAAGGTGCCATCCAAAAAGTGGGACAAATCTGAGAGTGTGCGCTTTAATTTTGATTGCTGTTCTTATTAAAAGATGACTTTTAAGTTACATTCAATGGCCACTTTATCAGGTACACCTTAGTAGTACCGGGTTGAACCCCCTTTTGCAGCCTTCAAAAATGCCTTAATCCTTCATGCCATAGATTCAACAAGGTACTGGAAATATTCCTCAGAGATTTTAGTCCATGTTGACATGATGGCATCATACTGTTACTGCAGATTTTTCACCCTATCACAAGGGTGCTCTATTGGATTGAGATCTGGTGACTTTGTAGGCCGTTTGAGTATAGTGAATGTTCAAGAAACCAGTCAGAGATGATTCACGCTTTATGACATGGTGCGTTATCCTGCTGGAAGTAACCATCAGAAGATGAGTACACTGTGGTCATAAAGGGATGGACATGGTCAGCAACAATACTCAGGTAGGCTGTGGCATTCACACGATGCTCAATTGCTACTAATAGGCCCAAAGTGTGCCATTAAATAACCATTACACCACCACCACCAGCCTGAACTGTTGATACAAGGCAGGATGGATCCAAGCTTTCATGTTGTTGATGCAAAATTCTGACCAACCATCTGAATGTCACAGCAGAAAACAAGACTTATCAGACCAGGCAGCGTTTTTTCAATTTTCTATTGTCCAGTTTTGGTGAGCCTGTGCCAATTGTAGTCTCAGTTTCCAGTTCTTAGCTGACAAGAGTAGCACCTGGTGTGGTCTTCTGCAGATCTAGCCCATCCGCCTCAAGGTTTGACGTGTTGTGCGTTCAGAGATGCTCTTCTGCATACCTTAAGTAACGAGTGGTTATTTGAATTACTGTTGTCTTTCTATCAAAACCAGTCTGGTTCTGCTCTGCTCTGGCATCAACAAGGCATTTGTGCCCACAGAACTGACACTCACTGTATATTTTCTATTTTTCGGACCATTCTCTGTAAACCCTAGAGATGATTATGTGTGAAAATACCAGTAGATCAGCAGTTTCTAAAATACTCAGACCAGCCCATCTGGCACCAACAACCATGCCACGTTGGACAGGTGTACCTAATAATGTGGTCAATGAGTGTATATGTACTTCAGAATATTTGTAACCATTGAAATATGCTTTTAAAACAGATATTTTACTACCGTAACCTAACCCTACCATTATGAATACCTCAAATAGGATTAATCTGTGACTGAACTTTAGGAAATTGTAGATTAATCACTAATTTTGATCACCACTGTAGCATACTGACAGCTAAAATCTTTTCTAATAATCACTCTTCATGCTTAATTCGCTAGGTAACCCAAAACACTCGCGTACCCAACATCCTGGATGACATTATTGCTTCTGTAGTAGAAAATAAGATTCCCGCTACAAAGATGGCCAAGGCAGAGCTCAAACAGGATTCGCTGCCTGAGGAGGAGGCGGGGCAGCGGCCAGATGGAGTAAAGCTTGATGAAAGCACATTGGCTAATCCCCATGCCACTGCACCTTATGATTGGTTGGGAAATCACCGACTGCTTTGGCTCAAAGATCACCGTCACCAAGGCAACCAAAGGCTGTTCAAAGAGAACTGGACACAAGAGCAGGTTTGTATTGCTCCCACTAGTGGAGTATTAACTATATATCTACAGATACCAGGGAGAAGCAAAACACCCTTAAAGTGAAATAAGTATTAGGAAACATTAGTTTTTGATACAGAATGAATAACCCAAAGTTGCCATTGCTCGAAAATTTTGTTATCATTGATAAGAAATGGCTTCTTGTATGACATAAAATGTTCATTTAAAATATAATGCTGCATATGATGTGTTGTCGGGATGTCTCTTCAATAGCCAGTACTGGTGTCTGGATTGCACAAGAGTCTGAACGCAAATTTGTGGAAGCCCGAGAACTTCAGCCGTGAGTTCTCCAGCCTCCACAGTGACCTCTACAACTGCCGAGACGGGAGCATCACCAACTCCAAAGTCAAGGAGTTCTGGGATGGTTTTGAAGATGCCTCAAGTGAGTGATCCAGTTTAGCAATTCTGCGCTCATCATTTTTAATTTGCTGCATATGATTTTGCCGTTTGACTCTTAACGTTATTTGCATGCTTGTGTGTATGACTGACAGAGAGGCCGAAATCTGGTAAAGGAGAGTCAGTGGTGTATAGACTGAAAGACTGGCCATCAGGGGAGGAGTTTCTGGCCCTCATGCCTGCCAGGTACTGCTGCCCTTGGAACCATTTGAAGCATATGTTGTCTTTCAGACCTCACCAGAATTTGCATAAAACGGCACTTTGTACTGCTAATGCCTTCTCAATTTGAATACACTGTTTCCACTATTTGAATACACCTCTACTCAAGCCTTGAACTCAGACAATGCAGTAAGAGATGGCAGGAAATATGCAATGTTTTTCCAATAGAGAAATAGATTCCCTGTGAAAAATGACTTCAGATTAATGAATGATTGGTTGGTCCTTGCTTTTCTCACACTGTAGTCGTTCATTATACAACAACAGTATTTATAGTCTCTAGAAAAAGGATTTTAAAGGGCGAGTTTTAAAAAAAACTAACTGCAAAAACATAAATTGTGAAAACGATCATATCTAGTGCATACATATTATGTGTTCAGTCTATGTATAGGCAGCCAAAACAACAATGGCAGACTACAAGACTTTGTCCAGAAGAATACATGTTTGTATTTACAAAGTGGTGTAGAATCCATAATACTCAAGGTAATTGTGATCGTAGATCATTTTGACAATTGCAAAGAAATATCTCCTCCATTTTTAATAACATTATTGCCTTAAAAATTTACCCCATTATATGCACTTTTGAATATCATGAATTTGATGATATAATGTTTTCTTTCATCTCAGATATCACGATGTGATGAAGTTTTTGCCAGTACCAGAGTACACAGACCCAGAGGCTCATCTGAACCTGGCCTCTCATCTGCCCTCATTCTTCATTCGACCCGACCTTGGTCCTCGCCTCTGCTGTGCCCACGGTATTCTTTCTTTCCCGCAGCCACTGACAGTGCTGTTATCCGTTTGTTATGCAATGGGCCTCATGTTCCTTTGTTTATTCAGGTGTTACAGCGTGTCCAGAGCAAGATTTCGGAACCAGTAATCTACATGTTGAAATCTCTGACACTATGAGCATTCTGGTATATGTTGGGGTGGCCAAAGGAAACGGAGCCTCATCCAAAGCAGGTACTGGCAAGTAAACGTGAGACAAGATTGTAAATAGCTTATGTTTTCCTTGAAAATATTGATTTGACCTTAATATGTTTGCAAGTCCATTATCTAACAGTTAAGTGAATTGCTTGGTACAGTAAGAGAAGTGGACTTGGACACATAACAATCATTATCCTCACAGTTGAGATTTGCCATTTGTGCAATAGAGGAAATTGCTCAAATGTAAATTTGATTGGTTTCCTTTAAATGCCACCACATGAGTTTGTAAAAGAATATTGTGAACCATAACATGTCTTTCAAATTCGGTTGTTAAACTCTGTGTTAGGTGTATTGAAGCTCTTGGAGGAGGAAGTTCTGGATGAAAGCGTGAAGAAACGACTGAAAGATCCTAATGAGACACCGGGCGCTCTGTGGCACATCTACATGAGCAAAGATCTACAAAAGATCCAGGAGTTTTTACACAAGGTACTACATTTCTAGATCATCCTGATGCCTATTGGTAAGGGATGAGTTGTCCAGTTTAACCAAGATAAAGTCCTGGGCCCTTTATTGTTGTACATTCTTGTACATACTTCTAAAACATGACATTAGATCACTAAACACCTCGGAGGGATATTGCTGCTTTAATAGTCCTCCTTCCTGTCAATGAGGATATGATATTCATGTATATGTGTGTAGGTTGCTGCTGAGCAGCACACTGAGGCCGATCCAGAGACTGACTCAGACTCCGAGTGGGACAGTGATGCCGACCCGCTGCGTGAGGGCGGCTGGTATCTGAGCCCCAGGTTGCGGCAGAGGTTACAGGACGAGTATGGCGTAGAGAGTCGCACACTACTCCAGTTCCACGGAGATGCTGTTATCATCCCTGCTGGAGCTCTGCACCAGGTATAGTACCTCACTCACATTGCAAGCTACATCCTCCTAAAGTCTAGGTATGCTAGTTGATATGCTTGGTTCCACTCCATCTCGCACACAGCTGCAGCCATGCAGCTTTCAAAGTACACTCAAGCGCAGATGGACAGGTTCAACAAATGCACAGTACCACCTAGTGGACTTCAGTCTCAACAGCATTGACTTTCGTATGTGCAATGTGCACAGAGCCTCCTGATGATGAAAAGCTGCTTTATTATAGCGGTCACTCCTTTAGGAATTCAGTATTTCACGATGTGTTTTAGGTAATGAATCTGCACAGTTGCATCCAAGTGAATGTGGACTTCGTGTCCCCTGAACATGCGCACAACTCCTATTATCTGACCCAAGAGCTCCGCCCTCTCAGAGACCTAATGAACTATGAAGACAAACTCCAGGTATGTCATCTGCCTAGTGTTACCTGTTCTGTTGATCATTGAAACTCTGTGGTCCCTCAATACTACACATTTTGCATGTCATCTTTATCTGGCACACTTGTTTCAAGTATTGGACTTTCCACTAATGTGGTTAATTTTCTAGGTGTGTTTGATTAAGATAACATGAAAATATGTAGACTTTAGGGGGGCTCCTTAAACGTGGTTAAGCTGGAAAACCCAGAGACATTGGCTGAAAATCATGCTCCACATAACACCAACCAAATACTTTGATTGTTCTGTCTCACAGCATTTTCACTTTACTCTATCCTTAATTCTGACCTAAAGGGTTAATTCACCAAAAACTGGAAGTCGTCCTAATTTACTCATACTCAACTTATTCCACACCTAAAAGATGATATAGTGATGAATGTTGGAAACTGTTTTTTTTTTCTTCTTAATTGCCCACCAATGGCTACTGGTTTCCAACATGTTTTGAAATTATCTTGGTTTGTGTTCATCAGAAAAAGACAAATGCATAAAGTTTAGGATGTTGAGCAAATGGTGAATGATTTTAAAATTTTTGGTTTACCTTTACCTTATCTTTAAAAGAATACTGCACTTTTTTGCATATAGGCTCTCCTAGAATTAAACAGTTGAGTTTTAGCTCAGCATAAATCGATAAATCGGATTAGACCATTAGCATCTCTCTCAAAAACAACCGCACCTTGGGAGAGAGTTTTGATAATGGTATTACTTAAAGTGAAACTCTTCTGTAGTTACATCATCTACTAAGACTGATAAAAAATGAAAGGTTGCTATTTTCTTGATTGATACGTCTAGGAACTATACTTTCATTCTGACATATTTGTCAAGGAATTTTGCTACCATACCATCGCTGCAGTAGGGACAATAATATTACGCAGTACCTGAAAATCTTGAGTCAATAAAACCATTGATGATTCTATGCATTACGATCAGTGGAGAAGTAGGTAGTGCAGTCGCCTTACAGCAAGAAGGTCACTGGTTCGAGCCTCGGCTGGGTCAGTTGACATTTCTGTGTGGAATTTGCATGTTCTCCCTGCGTTCGCGTGGGTTTTCTCCGGGTTCTCCGGTTTCCCCCAGTCCAAAGACATGCGGTATAGGTAAATTAGGTATACTAAATTGTCTGTAGTGTATGAGTGTGACTGTGTATGGATGTTTCCCAGAGATGGTTTGCGGCTTGAAGGGCATCCACTGCATAAAAACATGCATTTGTGAGAGACAATCCAGAACTGATTTGAATCTATTTAAACTGGAAAACTCTAATAGAGCGTTCACACCAGACGTGCTCGAATAAATCAGGCTATTTTCTCTTAAATAGACACGTGAACATTTTGAGTTTACTGACTTCATTTGCGCGTCCAATTCACTTTACAATTGATGAGGATTCGCGTCATGGGCGGGCTTCTGTCTGCCTGGTGACAGAAGCTTACACTAGAGCAAGCCCTTGATTGGTTAACGCAGGCTAAATGTTCACTAATGTTCAGATATTCCAAATTGAGCGATTTGCATGTTAAGAATGTCAAACATGCGAAACGTTCAATTTGTGTCACTATTCATGTGAATCATCTCATTTGCGCGAATAGCACCGCAGGATAACTATTCATGTCTTTGCTTTGACTTCCGTGTAAATCACTCGTGCTTAATGCTTCATCTGCGTCTGGTGTGATACTATGATAATATTGGTTATATTGATGAACAATTTTAGTTTTTTTTATATTATTGCACCTGCTTCAGCCATGGTACAGCAGGAAAGTTCTTGGATTATTACGCCAGAATGTGAGTATAGATCCTAGACATATTTAGAAACCTAGAACCTAGGAAATAGCAACTTTGCATTTAGCGTGTAAAAACTGCAAAACTCATTTGTTTAACTCTAGGGGAGTCATCAAAAAAGTGGAGTGCTCTTTTAAGGCTGAAACATGCTACAAAACTTCAGTCCAGGACAAACAAATTGATTCCAAAATCTAATTCTACAATTTCTTTTCTTCCTCCTCTACTGTTCAGGTGAAGAACATCTTTTTTCACTCTGTGAAAGATGCTGTGGCCACACTGAGGAAGCATCTAAAGGAGGAGAGCACAGTGAAGGTGAAACAGGAGGAGTCCTGACAATGCATCTCCTCCCAAAAACATAAACACAATCCCAAGATCCGCCAGGAAGGAACTGCTGTTCTTAGACTTGAGACCAACAAAATAGGCTGCTCTGCAAGGCTCTGTGACTTCCTGTGTGATGTTACGACGTTCTCTTTGTTTGAACAGCATGGACAGGAAGTGAGGTATGACAAACATGTAGAGATGAAAGCAGAACACTGTGCACTCCAGACAGGTGCAATGAACTTCAAAGCTCATCACTTCCACTCGCCGCACACACAGAAGGTCATGAAAACTATTGGAAAGGAGGACATTGGCAAATATGTGTTTTTTCAAGGGCGATAATGATTCATGACATGTTCTTTATCGGTAGTTCTTGCACTGCAGAAAGTGTCCAGCAAACCGTCATGCTGTGTTTTGGACGGTTGGAGAGGATTGAACACATTCGCAGCAGCATTCCATCACATCAGCAGCTGCCAAACTGACAGCTTCTATTATGTTAAAGCAACATTAAATTATTTACAGTTTGGCAAATATTCACTGTGCCGACAGAGGAAGAATATTCAAACAATTCCCATTTATTCTGTGTTGGTTTGAACAAAGATATTGTGACATTTTCAGCTTAAATGTAATATGTAAATAGCAGAATATACATATATAAATATATATATTAATTATGATTTTATATAACATGGTGTGCTTTATTTGCTGTATGTGTTGTTTGCTACTGTATGTACATTGAAGTTAAAGAGATGTTTTACATTTTCCATTAAAAATGGAATCAGAATTGATGTCTTTCATGCTTTACACTACATGCTCCAATTATCAATTTAAATGCAGTAAATGTGGCTATTCTTGTAGATTCACCAAAAAATAAGTCATAATTACCCTTGTGTTGTTAATGCCATATGACCCTTAATCAAATCACAGAAGTAAATTAAGGATTTCCTGATAACAATCAGCATTTAAATGTCAGTGAATTGTGAGCAGTTACAAGCTTGAACATTTGAAAATCAGTGAGGGTGCTGTGCGTGCCAAACAAACCAAAATTTATCTCAACAAATTTTTGACATTGGCTGAACCAGCAAAGCTCATTTGAGTCCCCTCATTTACACATAGATTCTAGATAAAGTCTATTCAGTTCTATAACATCAGTAAATTGACTGAAGATAGAGATAAATTAAACATGATTAAATACACAATTTATTTGTCTGTTTTAATTTTATGATTATGTAATCTACAGTGAATTTGGGGTATTTAACAGTTTTTTTTTAAACTTGACCCAATATACAGTGCGTCCAGAAAGTATTCACTGTGTTATTTTATTTTTATTTATTTTAAGTTACCGCCTAAAATGGATAAATTCATTTTTTTCCTTTAAAATCAACAAACAATAGCCCAATAAAGACAATGTGAAATTTGTTTAAGAAATATATTCATTGATCTTTGTTAATTTATCAAAAAACAAACAAACAAACAAATAAACCCCATATTAAACTATTCACAGATTTTGCTCAATACTTCACTGAAGCACCTTTGGGAGCTATTGTAAGTCTTTTAAAGTATGATTTTACAGGCTTGAACAATTTCTTAATTTATTCTTAGCAGAGTCCCTAAAACTCCCTTAGTTTGAATGGGGAGCATCTGTGAACAGCCATTTCAGATATCTCCAGAGATCTTTAATTAGGTTCAGACCTGGGTTATGGCTGAGCCACTCTAGCACATTCACAGAGGTGTCCTCTGTCCAATTTTTGGCTGTGTGCTTGGGGTCGCTGTCCTGTTGAAAGATGAAGAAATGCCCCATTCTGATGTCCAGAGCACTCCACAGCAGGTTTTCATCAAGGATAAGTCTACATTGCTGCTGCTGCGTTTATCTTTCCCTCATCCTGACTAATCTTCCTGCTCCTGCTGCTGAAAAACATCAGCTGTGGGCTGATGCACCTCCACCATGATCACTGCAGAGATGAGCAGTGCCTCATTTCCTCCAAACAAAGAGTTCAATCTCAGTTTCATCAGACAAGAGAATTTTTTTCTCAATATCTGAGAGTCTGTCAGGTCTTTTTTTTTTTAACTTTAGGTGGGCTGTCATGGAGTTTGACCACTCTATCCTACAGACTTGAATGGTGGCGAGCCATTCAAAACTAAATCCATTAATGGATAATGAAGAACATTGTTCTGTGGATCTGTGCTTCAATAAAATCCTGTCTCAGAGGTCTACATACAGTTCCTTAGACCAGGGATTCTCAACCGGTGGGCCGCAGGCTACTAGTGGGCTTCGGCCATCCTGCAGGTGGGCCGCGAGATAGCTTAGAATTAACTCTTAATATTATGGATGTCACAAGGTGTCATCGGGAAAATTAAGGTGAAAAGTTGTCTCGTGAGTTGAGATGTTAGCATGATGGAGCGTGAGGGTGAAATTAGCATTGAAGATTGGAAGCAGGATTGAATTTGAACCGCAAATCAAGTGCTTTGCATACATCTACAAGGCTGGACTCTGTGAAGCACATATCATTCGGTTGGGCGGGCGGGTGTGACGTAACCGCTTTTTTTTCTCACCGGAGAGAGATGTGCAGAAAGCCGCATTATTGAAGTGCAGTACAAATATCTAAACACCGCAATTAAACTATTAAATACCATCGTGTAGGACTTCTAGCCGCATTTTGCGACAGGACAGTCCACATTGCTGTTTGACACTGCGCTTAGAGATGGGTGTAGGTTCAGAGAATACACAGACATACTGAACTGCTGGAGACTCAACACACCCGCCTTCATCATTGCCGTACAGGAAAAGCGGGCGTTTGCTTTTCATAGTTCAAGTGAACACATTCTACACAAGGGATAAAAACCCTTTTATATTGTCATGTAGCACATGAAGACGCCTACTGGTTTAAAAAGAATATGGCCAAATGAGAGTCGTCATAAACTATAGAAAAAACAACTTGTCAAAAAAAAAAAAAAACAACTTGTCAAAAAAAAAAAAATGAAACAATGCAAACAGAATAAATACAGGAATGGAGAAAAGAGCGCTCTTTTATTATCAGCTGTCAGTAAGCGCCCACTCTTTTTTTCCCTGGTCATTGCGCCTTTTGCTGAGTGCAGTGTAAATGACATGTATGAAAAAGGTCATACATGTAAGCAGGTCATCAAAAAAATTGGTTATTGTCACAAAAACCAAATTGACCATCAATGTAAAAACTCTAAAATTGTATAGGGAAAAAGCCAGTCAGAAGAGTTTGCAATTTTCCATTTATATATTAACAAATAATTTGCAGTGTTCACATGTTCATAGAATTCAATATAAAGTAATAAAAACTATTGCATACATAAAATTATGGGAATAATTATGGAAATTGCAAACAAAAAAAGGGAAGTTAATTACAAGCATAAAAATTGTTTTGCATTTTGTGATTTAAAAAAAATATATATTTTTGAATTTATTTTCTATTCATATATAAGCTAAACATTTAAAGACTATTCCATTTATGTTTCATCATAAAAGATTTCGAAAAAATAATGTTAAAATCTCGTCTTGTCAGGTTCTCATGAACCCAATCTCGTGTCTCGTCTCGTGATGTAGGTGTCTAATCACACCCCTACTTAATATTATACAATAATTTTTGGATTTCGTTATTAATATTCTATAATAAAATGATCAAAGTAATGTTCTTTGATTGATTATTGATGTGTGTGTGTGTGTGTGTGTGTGTGTGTGTGTGTGTGTGTGTGTGTGTGTGTGTGTGTGTGTGTGTGTGTGTGTGCGTGCATGCGTGCGTGTAGTTTTAATATATAATATATTATTTCGTTTTTAAATATAATTATAATTATATAAATTATATGTTTTTAATAAAATAGTGCTAATAGAAAATAAAAGAAGGCGCAACAAAGGCATTATATATATATATATATATATATATATATATATATATATATATATATATATATATATATATATATATTTTTTTTTTTTTTTTTTTTTTTTTTTTTTTTTTTTTTTTTTTTTTTTTTTTTTTTTTTTTTTTTTTTTTTTTTTTTTTTTTTTTTT